AATGTCTTTACGAGGGCTGAAAGTACCTTTTGTCAAAGCATGTGAAATGAACATCCCCAAAACTACTTGAAGTGTTCCTATAGTGTGGCCATATGTGTGTAACAGATATCAGCATTTTTCACTACCATTATTTAAGGCAATTGAACTTTTGTATCTGGCACAACACCAGGCCAATTACCAGATGTTAATGGGTTTGAGTCTGCTCCATTTTGTGCCTCATTGGAGGTTATAATTGGATCATGTGTTAGACTGAGTGGTATAAATGAAGATTTAATGGATACTCTGTATATAATTTCCTTAAATGAGGTTCTAAAATTGTTAACAAGCTGCCATAAATATTCAGCAGAGATAAGGTTATGGTTAGTTTATAGAAAACTTTGTGTGTTTATAGATCTTTTATCAATGTCCAATAGAATCTAACTTCAATACTAAACTAATCAATCAATAAGAATATCAATTAAACCCTCATTTATACAGCTTAATCTAAGGCATTATTAATGTTTGTTACATTTAAGCCAAGGCTGCTCACTGATGGTCACTGAAGAGCACTACACATCTGTTTCTTTTAAAATCCTAAATTGTATATTAACAGAACTGTAAAACAAATCTTCCTTTTACTTTGATTTTTAATGATTGTGCATCTTCCTATTATAATAACAATTAACATTGATAATACAACCATGGCGTTACATCACACTAAGTTATGGAGTTGTCCCAATATATCACAGGGCGTGAGAAACCACAGTTCATACTTTTCAAAAAACAAATGTATTCTGTCCATGTGATGTTTGCTTTAAAAAATAAAGTCAAATAATTAGAAAGAGTTAAAAAAGAAACTTTGTGTAAGCATTTCCAGTAATTTTCCAATGATTTAACAGTAAAACTCCAATTACTAAAGCCTACTAAAATGCTTCCTTAAATATATTTTACGGTGTGTTTTAACTGGAGTTAATCATGTGAATACAGCTGACTGATTTCCAAATGGCACAGAAGAAAAGAATGTTTATTCAAACAGATTGATAGAATTCACATGGGGAAGAAGAGTTCACAGTGATAGACGTGCCTCAAGAAGCCATCTAAAGAAAAATGAAATCCTACTTTTTTCAACATGGGCTCTTCTCTGTTTGAAGAGACCAGGCTTGGTCACATGTGCTATGCAGATAAATGTGAATCAATCATTTTCATCAATAACTAAACATATGGCAAGCATATACATCAATAAAAATAAATAAATAACCAGAGCCTGAGTAAAACTAAAACAAGAGGCTGGTGTTTGTAACCTATACTTTTACAGGGCAAAGCCGCACATGGATTCTCCAGGCCAATTCAGCTTCTGCAGCATCTCAGAAGAGCCAGGGAATTTGATCAGATCTACAAAGGCATCTGTCACCAATCAGGTGAAGTGTGGGTGCCTGACTTTTTTTATCTGTATAGTACATTTCTTTGAAAACTCAAGGGGAAAACAAGGCTGACATTAGGCAAGGCTGTGACGTGCTGTGTTGTGTACATATGAATTGTATCACTCTGTCAAGAGTCTGGATGCAAGAAAGGCACTAGAGAAAAAAATTGAATAATGCTGAGACTGGAAACTATCGGATACAGACAGGGTCAGGTCAATTTGTTAACTTTTAAATACAATTAAGGTGTAGGGCAGGTTGGTTTCAGTCTCTCACCTCTGTATTACTGGTAAGTTTTGGAGTAGCTGTATGATCATGTCAAATGGAAAGACTTCTTCACAGCTACAACTTGTTACAGTCTAATCAAGTAACAGCAGAACAGGTATACTAGTCTCCCATGTGGACTACGACTACGTGCTACAATACAGAGGTTCTCAGGTAAGTACAATGCTTTTGAAAAGATTAAAGGGATGTAGTAGAGAATTTAAATATGTCTATTTAGTGCTCTATTTAATCAAGCAGCTACTTGGAAACAGCCCAGAAGGTCATGTCAAAGACTCTAGGACATGATACCAATTTATTATCATTTCAAATGTATTGAAACCTTAAGGCTTGTAAAGTATTCAATACTGTATGTATGCAAAGCCTACCTAGAGTAAAAAGTAGTTCCCTGCTATATATATATATATGCTTTTTTCATACTCTGGCAATAAGTACTGTATTTTGAAAATCTTTTCAATATTTTTTAAGCATTTCACAAGTGATTTTCAATCACTTCTCCATGCAGAAATTAAGGCAGTTGTGTGGTTTGTGCCTGTGATTTGCTTTCTTTAATTCATGCTATGAATATTCAACTAAAGACTATGAAGACTAAACAAGAGCAGAATTTTTATCATCCCATAACCATATGGTCATTAACTTCATGCAGGCTTTGTGATGTTATCATATTATAAAGTCCATTTGCAGCCATGCTTGAGCTTCCTGACAGAAGGTACATGTTTGACTTTAAAAAGGATGGCATTCTTCACCTTACTGTGCTAATCATACTCCTTGTTAGACAGTCCAAAACCTCTATTTGTATTTCACATACAGGAGTCATTTAGGTGTTACTTGTCAAACTCATATAATTTCATTTTCTTCTTCATTGAAACTCTACTACAGACACCATATTCATGAGGTCAACTTCAGATAGTAGTCTTGGAGACACTGAGACTACCAGACTTTTTTAACATTCCAAATGGTTCCTTTGGTTTTGGGTTTTGGTTCCTCCCAAACCAGTACTTGCACTACTAACTTAGGTAAACCTTTCTTACAACTTCATACTACCACAATGTGGTAGCAAACATCCCCTTAGCCTTAGACGTCTTCATTATGGACACCACAGTCAAGATCGGGGTGGCCTACTGAATGAAGTTAATAACTGTCAGTTATTAAGCTGTCAGCTGCTGAGGCCATTAATCTTTTACCATAGAGCTTTACTGAATATCTCTGGTTTTCCTCCTGATGATGTGATATTAAGTGTTGTGCGTCTGTTTATTTGCCTTCAATATCCAGTGGTAATCAAGGTGATGTCCAGAAAACATTCTAACTGTTGTGAAACTACCAGATGAATTACAAACATCCATCTACCCAGTAACAGGAAGCCACTTGTTTCAGGTAAGTGTTGTGGCAACCTCAAACCTAACTCGAAACCACAGGGTCACTATGTCCTGGGTGACTATAGCAATTGTAAATTGCTCCTCTGTGCTTTTAACCGCCATTGCAAACAGGGAGTTCCAACCTAGTCTGCATGCCTTTGGAAGTTGGGAGGAAACAAGAGTAATATGAAATGTAACATTATAAAAGTTATTTTTACCTTTATTTTCCACATATGTACAAGGTATGAATACTTTTGAAATACTTTTAAAAAGTGCATGTAGAATTACATTGAATTATTTCAGCAGCTACGTAGCACAAAACCCAAACAGTCTAAACATACAACATTGTCCAGATTTCATAATAATAGTAGGGCTTATTTAAATCCAAAGGTACGTTTATCAAATAAATAGAAACAAGCTATTGACTTTGATAAAACTGTCTCTGAGTTGATGAGAGTACTGTTTACTTGGAGTTTGCACAAGCTAAAGTGTTGCAAATAATGGATGCAATATAATCATTTATGTGAAGCCCAGAGATATCCATCATCAGAAAACTGCTTATTCCTGTAAATAGTCAAAGAGACCCAGAACCCACCCTACACTTTGGATGTGACAATCCAATCCAGCAGATGCACACCCAAGCTCAACGCGTGGCAGTTGTCCACCCAGAAAAAACTCACACGGCTGTGTGGAAACACATGAACTCCACATAGACGAACCCAAGAGTTGTGAGGCTGAAATGCTACCAAAAGATATTATAATATAAAATGTTTTTCGAAAATTCCATAAAAAATAAATGTAATTTCAAGGACCAGTTTTGTTCCTTAGTATTTATAATACATTAGCATATACAGTATAACCAATTAAATGATGGTATGCCAAAAAAAAATAAATCATATATATAAATGAACAACTGATTTGAAGAAGAAAAGAGGAAAACTGATACTTGAAAAAACTTAAAACTTGCAATTGATGAACATATATACCCAAATGGGATTTCTCACTTGTCTTTATTTAATTCAGTTTCCTAGTGTATGACATACTGTAAATGGTCCACTTGACTGTACACTTGGGTGAAAAATATTTGCCACTACAGTTTCCATAGAGACTGCAGCCATGTTTTCAGTTCTGGTCCCTGCCACATGTTTGGAGTAGCAGTGAAACTTCCTGATTCTGGAAACTTAAATTAAACCCAGACTGCAGAATTCTTCATGAAGAACCACAGCCTGCTCCCAGAGGCGACTGAAAACAGGAGCTGATGTATAACTTCATGCTGGTGCTGAAGACTTTCGTCATACTCAGTAAGATCTTTTTCTATTCTATACAAAAAAACTACAATTTAGTCACTTAAGTCACTATGCAGGGCTAAAACATACAGAGTGGGAGTTTTATGCAAGTTTGGTGGAAAAAAAAACAGGATGAAAAGAACCGCTTTTCCTGACTAAAAATAGTACCATTGCATGACTCGTTCCTGCTCTACAACATTCTTTATGTTGCTTTTTGAAAACAGAAACACTGTAATGTAACTATATCTGCATTTTAACCTAAACTCCATTAAATTCTTTCAGGTAGTGTGCCTCCAAAGAAACGCAAAACATTAACCATGGAAAGCACGTCAAGACATGAAGAGATGAGGGGGATGGCTTTTACAAGCAAGGATTGGAATTCAGTGCCTGAGCAATAAACAAAGCACAGGAGATACAATATTCCAGTCCACCTGGAGTCAGGGAAGAGTTCCTTACAACCCCTCTAAGACTGACCACTTTCATTTTAAAGCTAGCTCTATTTTTAGGGTTTATAAAGTTGGGAAAGTTTTATTCAACAAAAAGGACACCTCTGAGTGGGCTATTTTGGCTGAAGCAGGTAAAGGAAAAGAGCTGAAAATGGCTACCCTCATCAGAGAGAATTTCATGTTTGCATCTTTGTTCTTTAAGAGCAAGGATGTGATGATCTTCAATGGGCTGATTGCTCTCGGAACTGTGGCCAGCCAGGAAGTATACAGCGTCTTTGCCTTCAACTGCCCCTGTTCTCCGGAGCGGAACTATCTCTATGGGCTGGCAGCCATTGGAGTCCCTGCCCTGGTATTCTTCCTTATTGGCATCACACTGAACAAGAACACCTGGAACGTGATCTCAGAGTGTCGCACCAGGGCCTGCAAGAAATTCTCGGGGGCAGCAGCCTTTGCATTGCTGGGGTCCGTTGTGGGTCGGGCCATGGTGGCTCCCATGACGTGGTCAGTCATTTCTCTGCTGAGAGGGGAGGCCTACGTCTGTGCCCTCAGTGAGTTCATGGACTCCTCTTCGCTGGAGAATTTCCCAGTTGGCTATGGTCCCCTGACATTTGCAAGGTTCCCCTGCAATGATGTCCCAGCTGATGTGGTGAAATTCCGAGGGGAGATTGAGCGGCACTTGAAATACGAGTCTCAGGTAATGTCTCTTACCTTGAATGAGGGAAATCAAGGACAAGTAGAACACTGTGTTTATCTAGTGCAGCAGTTTGCCCAGCAAATTGAGGTGTGTGTGTTGACGGTAATGCCAAGTCAAATCACTGAGTGATTAGTTATCTAGAGTGTAATATCAAATCAGACCACAAAAACAGGTTTTTGTTTTAGTTTAAACCTTCTGATCAAGGATTCATACAGTCTGCATGCTACTACAGAAAGATATCTAAAGGTTTCATATTTTACAGCTATTTTTACAGTTTTTCCTAATACATATCACAATTATTTATGCGAGTCTACAGTTATTTGTCAATTCTGATTGTTGGCCTCAAACATTCATTTTCTGGACAGTAACCAAACAGCAACCTGCACCCCTTGCCCACCACTATTATTCTAACAAGACAGTGACAAGGTGATAACTGTGGTGTTTTCCTGTCCAGAAAGTAAAAGCACATATGAATTGCAACAGAAATTGTGTTCCAGTGTAAATGGTAATATGCATATGCATAGGTTCGTTTTTTTGGCATTACAAACCCAGTAAATAAATACTGTGATGAGGATAGGCCCGTTCTCAGAAGAATATAAGAAAAGTTAAGAATAAGATGTCCTTTAGTGCATCCAGCTCTTTTGGCTGCTAAGAAATAATTGATCTGATTATCTTATTCACATATTTTTTAAAGAAATACAGGGTATCGACTGCAGCCAAATGGTTGGGTATCTTATTCCAGACTCTTGAAACTCCCTGGGTAAAGAAGTGCCTCCTGTGCTCAATATTAAGTCCAGATCAAATTGTATGATCTACTTATATGTGGATAGAAATAGAAAAACGAATGCTTTCAAGAGCAAATTTAAACTCGTCGCTGCACGTTTACATACTAAAACATCCATCTGCTGTACATTGTTACATTGTACATTAATTGTAGAACTTATTTTTTTGGCAGTCTGTGCACATACAGTAATAAAAGCCAACAAAGGAACACCAAAATACCAAAATGATTGGGTGTGTGAATATTTTTCATATTTTCAGACAAGTATGCTTTATCCAGTACATGTCATTATTCTGATATTCTTATATTTATTCATTTTTAAAACTTATTTCACTTATAATATGTATGTAATTGCTAAAAGCAACTTTTGGTTCCATGATATCAAGAGTACAAATACATTTGAACTGCTGCATTTGCAGTTCTGGTCAAGTCTTCTTTTCTCATGTTGTTTAATTCATTTGTATAGACAAGAGTTTACTCTGTGTCCCCTTTTTCTTGCTTTGGCTGAAATACTTCAGCCCCAGAGTTCAAAGCCAGTCCTGAGTCTTTTCAATATGCTTGTGATTTTCTAATGCAGTAATGTCTGCTATTTCCCTCAGCTCCTGGGCTGGCTGATGGTTGCATTAACTGCCATTGCCGTTTTCCTGCTGTTGTGTCTCAAGCGTTGCTGCTCTCCACTGGGCTACCAGCAGGAGTCGTACTGGTCCCAGTACCGCTGCAGTGAGAATGAGCTATTCCAACGCACTGCAGAGCTTCATGCCAAAAGCCTGGCTGCTGAAAATGTCAAGCAGTTCTTTGGTTTTGTGGCAATGGACAATGAGGATAAGGAGCGCCTGCAGGAGCACCCAGTAAAGGACTCCATACCCAGCTCACAGTGGAACCAGATCACTGGGGTCTACCTGTACCGTGAGAACAAGGACGTCCCCCTCTACAGCCGTCTGAACAAATGGGCCAAGGGCATAATAGAGGACTGCACAGGGGCGAATGAGAAACAACAGGGTGGCTATGGGATTTGATATACACCGTTCAATACTGTTTAAGTTCTTGGGAAAGACTCAAAGGCAAATTCAGCCTACAGCCCTTCTTCTTTACCTCAGCTGTTCCATTTTCCCCTCCAACTTGGAATTTTAAATTCCACCCCACCAGTAAGAGAGGCAGGCTCAAAAGTCAAAACTCCTCCTCCTATTCAAACCCCAGCTCAGGTCCACCTAAGTGACTTGGTGCTCTTTAAAGCTGTAGATTCACGCTACCTAAGTAGCACCTACAGTCTCAGGGCAACAACTCAGCAGCAGGAGCCGTGGCATTCTAAGGCAAACCCCATTCATATTTTCCTCTTAGCTCTACCACACACCACCATGGAAACATGCCAAGATTTTGCAGAGGTCATACAAATATCCTAACACTATTAAAAAAGAGGGGAAGCAACATGAATGCCCTGTATCTCCAAATCCTATGTAAACTCAGCCTGCTAAAATGTTGATTATGCCACTTAACATGTAGCTTGACTTTTCTACAGTTAGGAACTCAGCGGCATACCGTAAAATGGTGGAATGCAAAAGCATTACAAAGAAAACTACTGCCATCTGAAAACGGCCACCTGATTACTGTTCACAGAAAGAAGTGCTTGGTTTCTGGAGCCTTGGCGTGTTACCCCTGCACCCCACCTCCTCTCTGACATCACAGCATGTTACCCTGCAGTCCCAGCTGCTGCTGTCTCGATGAGGTAGCAGATTCTCAATATGTGTCCACGGCTGTTCCAAGTGCAATCATAACAGGATCCATCGCAAATACCATCTGTCCGCTTTTGATACACAATGAAGCAGAAAGCTTAGTTTTGAAAGAAATGCACTAAATTACACTTTTCATTAGCTGTCTTGACGTTACAAAGTTCTGTTATCACACCATTTGTTTCACGATTGATTGATGACTCAGTAAACAGAAAGCCCAAATCAAGTCTCAACCGTGAACTTCTCCATTACAGGCTAAACAGATTCAGTTCCCTTAGTCTGTCTGGGTATTACACTCTGTTCAAACCAGGAGCTATTTTGATTGATCTCCTTTGTACCGCTTCTAGAGACAGCAATATTTTTCTTGTAATATGATGACCAAAACTAATACCAGCATCCCAAGTGAAGTATAACTGTGTTATGTATAATGTTATCATGACTACTTGGTTTACATTTTACCCTCTTAATGACAAAAATAAGTCTTGTATTGACAGGCCTTTGTATTGCTTCCTTGCACTGTCGAGGTAAAGCAAGTGACAATTTAACATAAATGCTGAGATCTTTCTATTATATTGCTTTTTCTAGTTCAGTACCACCCATATGGCGTAAAAAAAAATATTCTTCCAACTTGCATGTAATACCTTGTGCCTATCCAAATTTAATATGCCAGATGTCTGTCTAGCCTTGAATTTTGTCCAAGTCCACTGGTTTTGATTGTTCTGCCATTGTTTACTATTTGAAAATCTGACAATTGTAAAGACTATATCATTTATATTGATTAAGAATTACAACCGCTTTAGATCCAATTCCTGTGGCACACTATTAATTACCTTAGTCCAACATGAGGTAACTCCTCTTTGTTTTGTCTTTTAACCAATTCTTTATTCCCACACATTAATGTGGATTCCTATACCTTTAGATCTGAGGATTAGTCTTCCTTGTAGTACTTTGTCAAAAGTTTGCTTAAAGTCCAACTATACTACAATATATGAAGTAATATGGCCTCAGGTTATCTATTGCTGAGGTTATCAAAGACATACTGTACATCAGGCAAGTCAGACATATACCTTTTTTAAATACAGTACATGCTGGCCTTCTCCGAAAAAACTGATTTAATTTAGGAGTTCTTGCAGCTTTAGGTATGGTTGTTTGGTCTATTATTCCATGACACTTTTTTAAGTTCTGATTTTTATGAATGGGAATTCCAAGTGTGATTTTACACTTAGAACGTACACCTACAGTGTACAGGCCTCAGAGTTTTTCATGTACAGCTCACTCAACAATCTCTCCCCTTCCTTGCCATGTTAGAGCAAATGTCCAAGGATGAATGCTAATAAAAACAATTAACATAACCAACACAGTTGTATAGTTTTTGCATTATACTGCTACTTCCCCCAAAAAAGAAATGAAAGTTCTCAATTAATTCTTTACTTTTAAAGGCTTTGATTAATCTACTCCTACTTTAGGGGCGGAGCGGTGGCTCTGTGGCTAAGGATCTGCATCTGTAACTAGAAGGTTGCCAGTTCAAATCCTGTGGCCAGCAGAGGAATCCTACTCCATTGGGCCCCTGAGCAAGGCCCTTAACCCTAACTGCTCCAGGGGTGCCATACAATGGCAGACCCTGTGCTCTGACCCCAAGCTTCTCTCCGTGTCTGTGTCTCCTTGGAGAAAAAAGCTAGGGTATGTGAAAAAAGATGAATTCTTAATGCAAGAAATTGTATAGGGCTAATAAAGAAACATTATTATTATTACATTATTTTTTTATGTGATGGTCTATCTTGAAATCTTAGGCCTGCAATTAAAGAACTAAAATCCACCCCACTGAGCATGTAAAGACCATTCTGTAACTGTTGCTGGGTTAGGCTCCCATGGATAGTGTAGTTAAGACCCGATGCGAGGTGGCAAACCCGGAAAGGAAATGGAGGCGGACTTCGGGGAAGGCACACCAGGTTTATTAGTGTTAACAGTGGTAACAGGGAAGTCCGAGAATCAGTGAAGGGAGGTAATCCAAAAGCAACCAAGTCCGGACAGGTCTAAAAGGGGAGTCGGGAATCAGTCTGTTGATGCAATACCAGGGAATCCCTCCGGAAACAGATAGGAACGAAGACACACAGGGAACAGGACCAAAGTAGAACGGGGCTTGGCTCCATGCCCCGGGCTCAGGTGGTCAGGCCTATGCCCTCAGACTTCCCCTGAAGCCTGGTAGTAGGCAGACCATCAGGCAACCATCTTACAAAGCTGAGCCCCGAAGGCAGGGAGGAGTAAACTTAAATAGGAGATCTAAACTAGACACACCAGGAAGTAACACAGGTAATAATTAAAAGGACTGAGAGGATTGGAGCGCCCTCTGGAGGAGGGGATGCCAACTGTAACACACGCACTCTTTTCTCAAGCCTTGCTCATCCAGATTTAAGCTCAGAAATGAGTAGTAATCCTGTAAACCATGATTGTGGCTCTTGGTCACACTCTCCGCAAGTCTGTTGCTGCTTTTGTGTAAGCAAAACACCAGTACCACAAAGTAATAAGCCCATTATTATCGTGCACGTGCCATTCAGGGTTCCAGAATAAAGTGAAATAAAGGACAAGCTCTAACCCTGTGGAAAGTTCAATCCCGTGAAGCATCTTAATCCTATGTTCATACAAATGTTTGTACAATCGCACAATCAATACTTACAGTTTTGGAACCCGGCAATGATAGATCTACGTCTCAAGATATCAACAATGAACAAGAGTGATATAATCCTAAAAGGGACATGTAGGTTTGGCCTGTGCTCACAGCCTGACAGGTTTTGACTGACTGACCTTAGTTATTTTTAAAAAAAGGTTACAGAAGGGGTGAGGAACTCCAGTCCTAAAGGGCCTGTAGGTCCGGTGGTTTTTGTTCCACCTCTGATCAGTGTAATCAGTTTACGTCTTATTTGACTAAGAACTCATCTGGTGTTTAAGGTCTAATTGCTAATTGAAATATACAGCATGTACTGTAGATCCTTGACAGACTTTGCCCTCTAGCACTGGTGTCTCCATTCCTCATCTACATAATAAAGAATCCCCAAATACACTTTTACAATAATTCTTGCTGATTTCCCAACTTTATCTGAACATAAGGGCTATTATCAATTATAAAAGTCTTGCTTGTACTTTCACAACACTTTGCAAAAACACTTTCACATTGAAATATGTAGAAACAGAAGGTCCCAGTAAGAAAGGAAAGCTAAAACCAAGCTGCTGCCTTTTAGTTTAGTAAACAAAATCAAACTATGTGAAATGGAATAACCTATTCTGTTACAAGCAAACACAAACTAACACTAAGGGAATGTACAGTACCTCATGAGAGAAAAGGTAGGCTACTGTATCCAGACAGGGGCACATTTGTTTGAAATACAGACACATATTTCACTTGATTGCAATAGACCGTATATTCCAAAAACACTTGATAGCTATATCTTTGCTATACCTAATTTTCACTAGGCCAGTGTGCCACCATATTGTATTAAATGCATTGAAACCGATGATATAGATTGCTTTTGGCAGCCCCCAAAGGATTCTTCTGTGATATTACATAGCTTCTAATGGGCCTGTGAAACACATTCACTGTAAGTCGAGCAGCTGCTGTTTCTAAAGCTGGCAGAACAAGGGATGTGGGGGTGATGGATTTCTTTGTCCCAGCAGTGTTTGCCCGGCCTTGTCTTTATTCACCATTATAATAAGAACGCATATATGTCCTTTTTTTTAAAAAAATGATAAAAATCAGGTCGAAAAAATCAACAGCCATCAGCTTACAAAACCACTCATTGGCTTACGCCCAGTGTTTCAAAAGGGTGCTATTTGTTGGCCCTGATAAGCACTAACCTTCCTCTCTCTCTCTCTGTCTCTCTCCCTTTCTTTGTTTTGTTTGTCAGTGCTGCAACACACATGTGATAGACCTCCCATCCCTCTCAACACACAGTCATTCGCATATTCCATTCGGCAAGGCCTGGCCTGCCTGGATTGCCTGCCTGCTGTCAGTCCTTAATAGTTTACAGCTGGAAGGGGAGGGAGAGGGAGAGAGAGAGGAAGGGGGGGAGCACCGGGCTGTGATGCAGACGGCAAATCACATGAGCAAGGATCTGTTTACAAACTGAACAGGAGCAGTCACATCGGCTCAGTTATGAGGAACCTGGGCTGAGGACTGGGAATCTAGCTGGGCGTTCACTGCTGGAGGTTGGTGCACCTTATCAGTCTTTTCAGAATAAGCAGAAGCAGACGGCAGTCACCAGCAAAACATAGCACAATTGCTGTCACAGCTTGATGCCTGTTTTCACAGGGACATACAGACCGCTGCGTGGCAGCCAGTTCAGTCTTTTGTTTCTGTTTTGGAAGCAGCAAGTTGGCTCTGACAACAAGGAGGATCCATGTGAAAACAGGTATCCAAAGGGGAAAATAAAAAGGATTTGGGAGTAGGAGGCAGTGGAGGAGGGGTGAAGCTTGTGAAAATGTTTCTGCGTAAGACAAAGAAGTGACTACATTCAGTGGCGAGCTCAAGGGAGAAACTGTGAAGCTCTGCCTGTGTTTAATGTGGTTTCATTTCTGGTGGTTGGAATAGTTTCTACCACGCCACAGCTAAGGACAGGAAGACTTTTAGCTTTAAAAACAAATGGTGCGAATGTACTTGCAATCTATTTGATATCTGGATAAAAGGATACGTCGCTGAAATGATATTTGAACTGAAATCCTGTTCTGCAACACCCACATAAAAATACTCCAGGAGTGCAGTTTGTTTCTGTGCAAATATACCAGAAAAGTATACTGTATAAGGAGACAGTCCAGGCACGTCCAAAATCCAAGCACTCTGTGGAAAAGAAACCGTGTGAAGATGTTACAGGAAGAATGCTGCTTCTTCAGTCCTTGAAAGTTAGGATAACCAGTAACAGAAGAGGTGGTCCTGCATTTTTTGAAGGCCTTTTATAAGCAAAAACCTGTGTCGGCACCGATCTAACTGGAATTGGAAAATACATTGATACTTGTGTGTGATAAACATTGGTATTTATTCACACATCCAGCAAAGAACTACAGCTGTATTTGTAGAGCTGCCAGCATTCACTTCAAGTCTCTCAGTCTGGCTATTCCCCTGGAGATCGACCAGGGTTGGCCTGCTGGCTCAGCCACAGCACCACAGCGTGATCCTGGAGACAGCTCACTCTGCAGCGCCTTGCTGAATTTGCCATAGCTCCTGTGAATCAGATTTCATGCACCCATTCCAGTGGTGTAACGGTGAGTAAAAATAAAAAAGCTAGTCCATGCAGACCATACGGTCTAGGTTGTCTTATCTTCTTACTGTCAGCACTAAAGGTTGTTCAAAGGGGTTTCAATGTTTCAGGGGGTAAAAGGCCAGGAATCAGCTCAGGCTAATCTGGTTCTTCCCCACAGTACAGATAAACAGCCACAGTAAAGTTAAGTGGAAACCCACTCCAGTTGAACTTATTTCTATTTTTTCTTATCTGTGGATAAGTTTCAGGGAGGTGAAAAGGGCATGAAGTCAGACATTGCCTTCAATGTAGCATGGGGTGTTATAGGTAGGTGATATTGGATCTTCGCATTTTAAGAATTAAGCAAGAAAAAAAAAAGAAAACTGTCTATTTTCCTTAATTTATCGCTGCCAACTGACTAGGCACTCTTAAGCTCTCTCTTTCACCCCATGTTCTGAAACCTGGTTCCTGCCCAGAATGTGACAGGAGTGAACAGCAGTGATTTCAGATGCACCCCTCCCCTGTAACAGATGGAGTTATGGCTTAAGTGGCCCTGCTGTCAACTCTATTTGTTTTGTGTATGGGCAATGGAACTGACTCTTCTGGGAACTGAGGATGGGAGTGCAGCCATGTGGTAATTGCTCACAATCAAATATTTGCTCTTGGTTTTACAATATTATGCTTCTAAAAGGCACAGCTTTCTGAATGCGTTATATTAATTTCCAGAGCTCTGAGCTTTATTCATTAAACTGACCTTTCAAAAGACCTCCCTTTGTTTCTCACTTCCTGAATAATATTCTTATTCAAAGCTGAGATGGGTAAAACAAACATAGGTGATACAGAACCAAAGCAAAAGGCATCCTCTCGTAGACCTGTCTCTGTACTTGGCAAGCTAGGACAAGTTTTAAAACCCATTTTTTGTAAAAAGCCAAAAAGGTACTTTTCCTCACTGGCTGCAAGCGTGCAAGCTGAGGAACCAAATGTAATTTGTGCATAAAAAAGCAGATATTTTAGTTCTATTCCCTACAATAAAAAAAGCAGCTTCATACTCATTATAACACTATACTGACTTTCTAGGGGATTCTTCAAGACAAGTTACATACTGTGTCTAGAACAGTCAAATCATAGGCCGATCCTTGCTTTTATAAGCTGCTGAAGATTTTAAAAGGTATAAAATTACTTTTTGGTATCCATGTTAAGGGAGACAACTGAATTACTGGATCTATATATTGTACTCTTTTCAGAAGGTTTGTAGCCCATATGATTGTGTGTTCTGAAGGGTCTTATCAGACCATCTGCAGGGTTTGGTTTGAATGCTAAGATGGGGGAGGAGAGGAGAGGAGGGTAGTGGATAGGGATCTCATCTGTAGGAGGTTTATTTCCTGCAAGTTTTCATTTCACAGTATAATGGACACAATTACTGTTATTTTAAATGTAAACTATTTATGGGAAACCTGATGGGAACATTAACACTTAAAAGTCAGCCAATCATCTGTTTCTTAGTTGTTTTTATCTGAATAGCCTTGACTTTAAAATAAAAAGCAAAATGGGTAGACGACTCCACCATTATATTTCAGAATGCCCCAGTCTTTTAGAAATGTCATATTTAATTCATGAAGCACACTGTAGTTTGGGGAGTGTCCCAAACCTTTTTTTAAACCAATCTGTATCTCATTTCCAGTACTACAACAAATGTTCTCTAAAAGAACCAGATGAACAATTTCTTAAGTTAATTAATTAGGCAAATTATTACAAGTTGCCACCTGTCCTTCTATCTCTTAGTTATGAATAAGCTTATCTTTTTGCAGACTTATGCTCTTTACAGTCTGGCATTCATTTTAAATTAGAATCAGAAGCCTTAATCATAGCATTGCAGTTGATAGGAATCTCTTTTGGACTACTGCATTTTTTCACATGGAATGAAGACAACCTGTAGTTATAAGAGTCTGCGTTTTGTGAAGTTATTTAGGTTAGACTAGTGAACACTGAAGCAACTAGGAAAACATTATATGAGATTTTTCACAGGTCTGGTCTAATTGTATAAAAGTAGAGTCTTCCTTCAGACCTACATTCTCTATCCCATGATTATGTTCTTTATATTACTAATTGAGCAAAGAAAACTGCTTTGTAAATAAAAAACTTACATATATATTAACTCCTAAAACCTTGTTGTCTTTCTGAGAAATACATTTTCTACTCTGTACAACCTCAATAATGTGAATCATATTACACATTAGCCCTAAGAATCTGGGAAAATACAGTACTTTCTTGAAATAGTAATATGGCTGTACTACTGGAGTGAAAATAAACAGAAATGTATTACTTATTTCACAGTTCGAAAACACCCTTCACCACCAGCAAAGACCCGAGTCAAAACTGCTCTCATTGGCTGAAGTTTACCATTGAGACTGAGCAATGCAACAGCTCTTCTGTGCTTTAAAATTCCCAAACACGCTGCAGTCTGAGAAAAATTAAAAAGGAGAATGAAAGGAAGCATGGCAGTAGGCAGACAGTTTGCACAGAAAGACATACACACCCCCCAAAAAATGTGAACACATCTCAGAAAATATCTCCGGCTGCTACAACACACTCTTGCGTTTGGGTAGAAGTTAACTATGGTAAATGTCAACATACAAAACACTACTGCAGATCTTGAATGAAGGAGAAAAGCAATAGTCCTGTATCCAGCTGTGAAAGGATAAGTGACTATGTACAGTATAACTATCTGCAAACTATACTGGTAAGTTAAATCTATTAGAGAGACAATTGTCAACTCATATTGCCCACAGAAGGTTTTTGGTCCTTTTTTCTGGTTTTTGGTGAACTACAAATCAGTATAACAGACATCCCAACTTTGAAAAATTGATTTTAGGGAGGGGGGGGTGATCCCTCCATGAAAACTTGCGAACTAGGGGGGGATCCCCCCCTTGAAAAAAATGACAACTATATAATTAAGTAATTTGCTGATACATACTATAATATATATGCGATACACTATAGATACTACAGCTCACCAGTCCAGTTGAATAATCCCACTTTCTTTGCAAACTTTCCTTGTACAGAGATGCGGCTTGTTTAGCAGATTTGAGCAGATTCTCAGATAGCTCAAGGTCATATTATATAATTAAATAATCCACTGATGATTTTTCAGACCAGGGGTGTCACCTGTGGGAGTCAGGGAGGAGACACTGACTTCCGGGATGTCTGGTATAGAATCTTTCCATCATATGTCTACTGCTGCATAGGTCTATTACAATACCACACATAAAAACTGTAGATGACCGTTGCTTCACACAGATGGACAACTTGGATGGTAGTTGCATGTCACTGCTAGCCGAAATCAAGCAGGATAATAAGCAACTGTCTATATCTATCTGCTGCTGGAAAAGATGTGGGCAAATAAAAGGACCTTGTGGAGTTCTCTTGACATTTTATGAAGCTCCCAGAATTGGAGACCCTATAGCAGGGAAACTGTAAATGCAGCCATGCACACAGACAGGGTGGAGGGCACATGATGTCGCTGTGCAGAACAGATCATTGTTTCCCTAACAATGAAAGAACGAGGGCCAGACTTTGGCAGCCTATTCTTCCCAGTTCCCATTGATCCTGACTGGCAGGTCATCTGATCACAGCGGTCACTGACAGCAGGGACGCTCTGAATGCCACCCAGCCTGCCTGGCCCAGAGATGGCCTGACTTTGCTCCTCAGACCCCACAACCTCAGCGGCAGTCATGTTCCATCTCTTGGCTCACCTGGGTTACCTGTGATGTCGGGCAGGCGTAGGTGCCTGTCAGGTAAGATAGAAGTGGATTTTTCTATCTCAAAAGATGTAGTCATAGTACATCTGTGGGCAGGAATGAGGGAGAAAAACTATGTAATGTATAGCCTGGAAGAAGATATATGGTGGAAAAAAATAATTAGGTGTTTATGCATTAGTGACTTGACAAATACCACTGTAGGACTTTCAGAATGTGATCCTGCACAATGTGGAAGTGAAGTGTCACTGTCCTGGAGAGGACTTAATTTTATAGTCCTAATCAGAAAATATCATGGACAAAAGTATTATATCCTCTGAAAGAGCACTTTCATCTGAGGCATATCTATGAATATGTCGCATTTAAAACATAAAATATTCTCCAGGGTGAGCATAGCTATACAGACTGGTAGCCTGAAGAACACAATAAAACCACGGTATTACCACAAACACATAAGGTATGTTTATTAACAGTGTTTGGAAAGTTTAAATTAAATTATTAAATTATTAAAACATAGACTAATCGCTAGCTAGCAGTTGACTGTGACAGACTACAGTATATGTACAGTAAACATACATGGACCTCACAGGAAGCCTCAATATCATTCAAGGAAAAGGAGAAAAACATTAGGACTGAAAACTCTACAGAGACATTTTTGGATATGGATTTCAGATACAGATGGATATTAAAAAATTGCTGACTTTGAATTTTTTTTGTCAAAGCACTTCAACCGAAGGAAAACACACATTTGAGACTGCAGTTCAACTGCAACTGACTGCAATTCAATTGAATAGGTTTTCAATGTCGCTCAGTGTTACTCTATCAGTTTGGTCATTACTAAAATACTGTACAATCAATAAAAAGCTTTCTAAAATAACAGTGTTTAGGTTGCCTTGGGAAACAAATACAAGAATGGTGGCTATTCAAATAGTCCACCAGTCAGTTAAAAAGACAGTGATCTAACCCTCTTTGTAGACTCTAAGCTTTTGTCTTACAGCCAAATAAGATAAAACTGTGATGGATAGAAAAGATATGTTGTTTTCAACCTTGCCTTTCCTTGTCCAAAGGAATCTCATTACTTTAAATGTTTTGTGTCCATACTTATTAAATCAGAACTGTAATGGCAGTGATAGTCAGTGGCCATTGCCCTGTTTGCTGGAAAATTGAATTAGAAATAACTAAATTATTCTCACAGTCCTCATAATGCACACATGCAGAAATGAGTGCACAGTATAACTTAAAATGCAAAAGCAAAACACAGAAGAGGAGT